GACTGCTGCGCTTCACAGGGCGCGTTACGAGCAGAGATAGAGCGCGCCCCGACCGCGCGCACTCTCCCGTCTTCAAACAACGAGCGCTGTCTTGCTCTCTCTTCCTCGCGCATATTAATCAAAATCAATTGACGCGATAATAAAAGGTCGGAAGACTGCAGTTTAACGTGGAGCATTTGGAGATTTTTAGAGATTGGAGACAGGCCTATACACTCAATGAACGACATCTCAACACTAAATTATAAAGGCCTGTCTCATATAGACACCTGTCTCAAATACAAGCCGGTGCAGTTCGACGATTTGGGTAAATAAAAGCCCGGGCTACTATTTGAAGTTTTACGGTAGTCTTTCTAGTTACATTAAGGCTACATGTATTAAAGCAGAGTGCTCTGGGTAATATTTTATATCCTGTCAAAACATACATTAATCATTGCCATTGCATTTGTATTTTTCAAAGATGTCAGGGAAAAAGCAAAAAGATATTTGTGTACACACACACACACACACACACAAACACCTTAATACTCTAATATGTCCATTTGTTCACAATGTCCCACCACACAAATAAATCATTATACCATTTCGACACATTCAAAATGCAAAAAGATTTGTTTTTCCAAACTGTTTGGAGCAATTTGTTATATTTTTGTAATTTTTGTATATTTGTAATTTTGAAATATAACATTAAAGAGTAGGCTATATTTGATGTGACGAATTGCTCTGTCATTTATCAGATTTACCAATTGTTATAATTTCAATTTGTGCTGGTTAATTATGAACAATGGGTAAAATTCAAGCGGCAACATTCTAATCTGAAAAATGAAGCCTACCCGGAAGTGCGAAAAACTGCAATACATCGAAAATCCGCTAGAGGGAGGTCCCAAAAGGGAGCAAATATCCATAGACCGCATGTTAAAATGTCCGTTTTCACAGCATAAATGTATATGGTTACATGTTGGTCCCATGGACTTTTATTATATTTTTGGATAGGTCCCGAGTGCCTGACAACTGTGAGGGGGGTGAATTTTTTTCTAACTCGTTAGTTTAGATCGTATTTAGATATAAAATGTATGCCAAATAAGGCCGTGGTTAACTTTGATTGACAGCTTGATTGACAGCTGATAACGGGCTGCACCGAGTAGACAACACAACACATCATACCACCTCTGTATCCTTTTTGAATATTTGTATTGAAATATCGTACATAAAATGGGTTGCTCTGCTATAAACTGCACTAACCGACACTGTAGGGGAGGAGTTCACTCCATTTTTTTCCGGTAAGTGACTTTCCACTACTATTTCACGTAGTTAGCATTATTTAGCATCAATGTTTGTGGCCAGTGGCACTGTAACAGTTAGCATTAAATCGCCTCAGATAAGTTAGCGTCCGAGGTACTAGGGTTGCCAACCGTTCCGTATAATACAGTAACTTTTATAGTCATGCTGCTGACAAGGCACGTATAACACCTTCTTTGATTCATTATTTGGGTAGATGATAAGGAGTGTGCACATTTTTTGGTTCTTTAAACTAAAGGACAATTTCGTTATTTTACACTTAAAGCCCTGTTTTAAGATCGTTTCTGATGAAATAGAATGGTTAAGATTAAAATTTGGACACATGATACGTATAATACGGAATCGTCGCGTATTTGACACATACAAGTCTTGCTCCGTATTGAACTGATACGGAACGCACTTGGCAAAATGATCATGATAGCCTTTATATATCTATGTGGTTGTTCAGTCTTGTATATTGATTAGGCTAACTTTGCTATTCTATAAATATATAGGCCTAATACGTTGTATTATAATATGCTATAATGTATGATAGAATACAAAATTCCCCAAAAGTCATCATTTCAGGGGTTATTTTTAAGAACCCCTTTTGCGCACAGACATGGTTAACTTTCTACTAAACTAGGCCATAACATTTGCATTGTATTTATCAGTGTTTCTGTTTTCAGATCAGCCTAAGGTGTGGAACAGTTTGAAATTCTAACAGATTATTTTCAACATGACTTTTCATTAGATCAGTGCCATTCAGACACTCAGCAATGTTATTTAACTGGGACTGGGTAAACTCCATAAAGATCAGTGCCATTCCACAATACTGACTATTTACTTGCTTACAACATTTTGTGTTATTTACCTGTAATGCTCAAGACATATAAATAAAAATGCAAATTTACTTCCGCATCTTGGTCTTCACTTCAATCTTCAACTACTGATTGTTTTTGTTCCTGTACTGCAATTTAATTGTAAATGTTTGACAGCATAGACAAAACTGGTTTGATACAAGTTTTAATTAGTTAAATGTCCGTCACAGCTGATCAAAAAGTTCCATAAACATTTGTAAGTGTTTTAATTTTCAAGTTCAGTGCCATCAACAGTAAGGTAACGTAACAGACATTGGTTTGGCATAAGTAAAGGGAAGGGTGTAACATTCCATCAGTCCTAGACAAAAAAAGTGACATTTACAGTTTCAATGGGTTCAATATCATCATCATTTTTTAGAAAAGTTTTAGAGGTTAGAGCCCAGGGACCTCCTTGCCACCTCCTCTCCACGGCGAACATAGCTGTCCCCCATGATCCACACAGTGGGAACTGCAAAAATAGAAAGGTAAACATTTCAATACAGTGTAATGCAATACAACAGGATAGTGCCAATTAACAACACTTGTAAATCACCAGTAGTCACGATTGTGATTTTAACAGTAAAAATACATAGTGCAAACCATTACTCTAAAATGCTATTTAGTTTTACTCATTGCATAATCCATAACAAAACATCCCTTGTATGTAGATAATATACGTCCCTCATAACGAAAACTGCAGAAAAACAAAATGAATATTAACATTAAACAATTGGAAATGGTGACCAAGTATATCAAGATACTGCCGGCTCTTTAGTTAAAGTTAGACTGCCACTGACCACTCGAGCAAAATAGCGACAATGCTATTTGAAATGGGTCTTTATTTTTTACAGTCTATGGTCTTTAGTGACAAAGTATACCAACAGGCTATATAAAATAAAATGTCACAACCCTGTCTCTTTTTGTGAGACCAAAGATCGCCCGTTAGATATACACAAGACAAATTATATCTCATGATTGACAACTAGACTAGACATCAGAGCAAGCGGCAAACGTTAGCCGAGGTAAGCCTATTCCAGGCGGGGTACATGATCGCTCAGCGTCCGGTGAAAACATCAGATCAAATTTTTAAATAGGTGCGATCTTAATAAATAAACCACAGATTTGAGCTTTAAACAACTACATTGTCGACTGAAAAACTACATTTCGTGACATAATAACTAGTATTTTTAAATTTTGCGGCTTTTCAGTTAGCTGCTAACATTAGCTTATTTTACCTAGAAGTTGCAAACACAACTTGTAGAACTAACTTGTCACATGAGTTTACCCGGATAGTACCTTGCAGGATACATAACTATAAGGTGTCTGAAAATGCCTTTAAGAGACTTACATGACCTTCACGTTACAACTTACCAGCAAATTCAGATGGGTTGTAGGCTACACTTCAGCAGCTGAGGCTGCTTGGCTGAAGAGGCGCGTCCACCGGCCGGCTCAGTCTCACACAAAGCCCGCCCTTTTACCCATATATGGATTGGCCAGACGATGGGCGGGGCTAGGATTTCCCAAGATTTTCCAAGATGGCGCCGCCCATACCCCCCATAAACGGCTTCAAAACCGTTCTTCAGAGAGTCTATGGGTGACGTCACAGACGCTTTGTCCATATTTTTTACAGTCTATGGTAAAATTGGGGGGGGGGCAGGGATGGGCGGGGGCGGGGTTCCATTGGGGCTCCTCCCCTAACCGCATGTGATCTCACTCCAAGCTTTTGATAAAACTTGAGAACCCTGCATAAACAGAGAGAAGTAGCTCCAGTGTGGTCTTTTGGCCTTTGTGATTCCCTCCAGGAATCGGGTCTCCTTTGGGATCGTTTATCGTTTAAAATGCGTTAATGACTATTAATGTCTTTTAAATTACATGGTTCTTATAACTGAAGCTAGGTTGTGAAATTAAGCATTTCTCGTTCTTAGGCCTACTGGTTTTTAGTTAGCTTATGTTGCATAGCATACATCTACCTGATAGTCTGCTAGCTTAGCTTATATTATATTAGGTATGTTTTTTGGTTCCAAATATAATTCCCAATTGCATGTTCAAATTAATGTTGTTTGTGTGTACTTACTTTTAGCATGACAATAATTGTTTTTAAATGTATTATTATATTATATACCACATTACTATTAATGTAAATTTTACACAATAAATTACTTTTACAGAACATAGTTTGTTGCTACAATCCTTATCCTTATTAAAAAAAATACATGACTAGGAATGGTTGTTTGTTTTATTATGCAATAATTAAGCATTCATTTTATATTTCAAGCATGTGTTTTGTGCACTTAATTTAATAAACATCATACAATAGTTAAATAGGTTATACTTAGGCAAGACATTGCAAATAACTTTTTATCAGGCATTAGCCTAATTAGGAGACCCAATTCCTTCACTCAGTTTATCAGCCTGTAAGGACTGTGATTTAATTTTTATTGGGAGAAATCTAAATCAGGCAACTTGAATTAAGCTGCTTGGACAGAACTGATGTAAATCTTCATATCTCTTAACTAACTCTCACATTTTGCATTATAAAAATACTTGCCATCTAACTTAATTAAGTCAAAGTTTATATTAAAGTCAACATCAGTTCATGCTACAGTTTGGAGGAGTTCAGAAGACATACATTAGCAAACTCTGTAGCAGATATTTAAAGTTTCAATCTTTATCCGAAATCGAACATTTTTGGGAAGATAAATAGAGTTTGTATAATCTCATCCAAGATACAGATCTTATATTAGTTGTCTCTATCAATGAAGGTTATTTATGGAATTGGTTTCCGCAACGCAAGTAGAGGGCGCTCGTGCAAGCAATGAGACACATGCCGAGTGTAGGAGAAGAAGAGAAGTGATCGAGGAACAGCCCTTCATCCTTCTGTATAATCTGCTGTATTTTTCAGACTGTGAGTAGGCTACATTTATTTATTTTTACCATTTATTAGGAAAAATCTAAATCTAAACGAGTAAGTTAATTTAGCGAATCATTCAGAAATTAATCGAAATTAATCGACTGATGTTGGATTGTGAAACGTAAACTCGTTTCTGATCGACTGGTTTTTCACATTAAATTTGTAAAGATTATGAGTTGTGTTTTCATTTTATTTAATGAACAAAGGAAACGTGGTAAACAGTTAATGCATGTAAATAATATATCTAATGAAAGAGCAACATAAAAATCAGTAAGAGGAGTTGAATTGTTTCTAAACAATGAGAGTTTAAATGCTGGGAAATATTCACATCTTGACACAGGAGAAGAAGAAGCAAGCAGGAGAAACCTCTGACATACTATTGTAAAGATGGAGTTTGAGGAAGAACCCTGCAGAATAAAATATGAAGATACAGAGGAACAAATAGGTTGGTGTTTTCCTTCATTTTCTTTAATGACTGATGGGGAATATTAAGGGTGTACTCACACTGGGAACAATTGCACAATCCATGAAGTAAAATAATATATCAAATCATTGTATTAGCCTATAACTTTCTCAACATAGTTGAGAATCATTCATCTTTATACACAGTTTGGTTAAAATACACTGAAACCTAAAAATGTATTGGTAAATGAGGGAAAAAAACATAGTTTTTACCTAAACATGTCTTATCGTGCCATTTTATTTTCTTAAAGGGGAAATGAAGCAGTCAGTCAAGTTTACATAATTTACAAGATGGATTACCACTCTAATCAAAAATTATAAAAGAAACATGACAAATGTTAACATATAAAAGAAAAAAGAAACACTGTTATATCTTTCGAGCGGCAAGGGCGCCGCCATTGTGCAGTATTATAACTGGTGACGTCACGGGGTTGGTTGGCTCTGTGCTGAGTTCAGTAAAATACAGTGAAAGATGCATGTAAGCTGGTCGATCCAGCGAACAACTAACGTTAGGTACAGTCATTGTTAGCTAACAGCTGTAAGCATGAACTAGCCAATGATAACTTAGTGTTTAGCTAGTGAACTTTATTAGTACCAGACAAAAAGACGACGTCTAACGTTAACAAACTGCACATGGAAACATTGTTCGTGATGTCTGCAATCATATTCCTGTCTCTTGTCAACACCATGGTCAAGATCAGCGTCTTGACAGCAGATGGATCGTGCTATCGTGGCGTAATAATCTGTTTGGTTGTAAAATGTATTACCTGAATGAAATAAAATCGAATGTGTCGTCCTGTGGAATCATTCATTAATATAACGAGATTTGGGCCATTTGGGCTGTATCTTTTTTATGGGCACGAGCGATGCTCAATTTGCAAATGAATCACTCTTTTTTTTGGTCGATTCTGTTCAAAGACTTCATCAAACAAGTTGGCAGATCTGTCTAAATCGGTTCGCGAATCTGTTTGATCTGTTCAGTTTTCTGCACGCACTGAATCACTTAAGCGCTTTCAATTCACACTCGACTCGGAGTTGTAAGAGGAAGATTTAAGAACATCAAGAGCGTTGGATGAAGTGGCCGTGGACCTACAGTACAGTCTAGTGAAAGCAAATCGGCAAATCTATCATATTGTTTGCCAGCGATGAAGAAGTTATTAGTTGAACATCTTCGTATGCTGTCTGTGAATGAATGATTCCACAGGACGACACATTCGATTTCATTTCATTCAGGTAATACATTTTACAACCAAACAGATTATTACGCCACGATAGCACGATCCATCTGCTGTCAAGACGCTGATCTTGACCATGGTGTTGACAAGAGACAGGAATATGATTGCAGACATCACGAACAATGTTTCCATGTGCAGTTTGTTAACGTTAGACGACGTCTTTTTGTCTGGTACTAATAAAGTTCACTAGCTAAACACTAAGTTATCATTGGCTAGTTTATGCTTACAGCTGTTAGCTAACAATGACTGTACCTAACGTTAGTTGTTCGCTGGATCGACCAGCTTACATGCATCTTTCACTGTATTTTACTGAACTCAGCACAGAGCCAACCAACCCCGTGACGTCACCAGTTATAATACTGCACAATGGCGGCGCCCTTGCCGCTCGAAAGATATAACGGTGTTTCTTTTTTCTTTTATATGTTAACATTTGTCATGTTTCTTATATAATTTTTGATTATAGTGGTAATCCATCTTGTAAATTATGTAAACTTGACTGACTGCTTCATTTCCCCTTTAATAACTAGCCTAAGTCCTAGTGTCCTATACAGAGGACATAGCATAAAATATTAACATTTTTTGTTTTTTGTTTCTTATGCTCCAAATAATGTAATGACATTTAACATAAACTAGTTCTGGTTCTCAGGAGAATAAACAATACATCTCAAACTAGATACTAGTAGACTCAGTTGTCAACTAGAATTGTGCTAAATTTAGAATGAACTTTATTTCTTTGTTTCTCATTTGTCCTTTTTTAATTGAATTTTGGGAATTGCATATGTTGATTTTAGACCTGATGGAAGTGAATGAAGGCATACACCATTATTTCACAAATGAAGATGTAAAACTGACATATAAAAATGAAGACAAACTACATCTGTTTCAAAAACCTCATCATTTCAAAAATGAAGACGAAAATACAGCTGTTTTAAAGAACGAAGAGGATTTCACACAAAATCAAGCTGGACAATCTGGAGTCAAAGCATCTTTCACCTGCTCTGAGTGTGGAAAGAGTTACAGACATAAAGGACACCTAAAGGATCATGTGAGAATTCACAATGGAGGAAAACCGTTCATATGCACTCAGTGTGGAAAGAGTTTCATACATAAAGGACACTTAAAGGATCATATGAGAATTCACAATGGAGAAAAACCGTTCACATGCACTCAGTGTGGAAAGAGTTTCACATCCAAAAGTTCTCTCAACACTCATCTGCGCCGTCACTCTGGAGTGAGATCATTCAGCTGTGATCAGTGTGACAAAACATTTGTTGTAGCATCAAATTTAAGAGAACACCTTAAAGTTCATACTGGTGTGAAGCCTCACTTTTGTTCTTCATGTGGAAAGAGATTTACACATCTGCACTCTTTAAAAGAGCATGAGCGTTTGCATACTGGTGTGAGCCCTCATATGTGCTTTGACTGTGGGAAGAGTTTTACTACATCAGGCAACTTAAAAACACACCAGATAATTCATACTGGAGAGAAACCGTACAAGTGCTCACACTGTGGAAAGAGTTTTTCTTACTCAACATCCTTGAAAAGACACAAGAGAGTTCATACTGGAGAGAAGCCGCACCAGTGCTCTTCATGTGGGAAGAGTTTCACCCAATTATCTAATCTACGGACTCATGAGAAAAAGTGTTGCCCGAAGTTGCCTAACATAAGCAAAGTTCATGCTCAGATCCATCACTTTCAAATTAATAGTTTGATATTCTTATAAATCAAAAGATGGGATTTCTTGTGACCCCATCTGAGAGAATTCTAGGGAGAATGTTAAGGAGTAAGTATAGTGAACCTAATTGTCTTCATACATATTCTTTACAAATTAATTTTGTTACCCTGGCTGTTGTTGTCATTCATTATATATATATATATATATATAGTGTGCAAGTATGCATTGCATGTAGAATGTGTTACAAGAATAAAGGAACAACTTTTTGAACAAAGTCATGAAAAAAAGGTTCAACATTGTATTAAATCATTCTTTTAAAATAACAGATATGCCAGTTGTTTCATGTCAAGTCAAGTCATCTTCATTTATATAGCGCTTTTAACAATGGAGATTGTTTCAAAGCAGCTTTACAGAGATAAACATACAATTTACGGTAACAGAGATTGTTTTGGCTTTATAGCGATTTTGAATAATGTTATTTCCGGCTAAAGTTGGTTTTGATTGATTCACTTCCAGCAAAATTATCATTTGTTATTACATTAGGGGCCACTAAGACGACGGCGTTCTCTCTAAACAGACTTTAAACGCGAACCTGTGACTGGATGGCGTTCACATGCGCATTAAAAATTGATTCTATAGTTATATTCGTTTGAATATGTGTGTGCAGGTTTGTAATTTCCCTACCAACCATGCCTAAACAAACTACTTGTCTTGCCTATAAATTTGATACAGAATTTTATTTTATCACTTCGGGGTACGCGAACCGGATTTTCAACAACGCTTTATCTGTAGAGTGGGAAAGGGATCCTCCATAGGGAAAGCCTGCAGGAAAACCTCGGGATAAACGAAGACACTAAAGTTAGCGTAGATGCCATTCTTCTTATAATGTAACGAGTACATCTGGATTTAAGGGAAGTGTTCCTAGTTCCGGCTGACCTAATCTATGCAGCCTAACATTGAATTATAGAAGTCTATAGTGTGTTATGTGTATGCTAGGCCAAAGAGATGTGTTTTTAGTCTAGCTTTGAACTGACAGAGTGTGTCTGCTTCCCGGACAATGGTAGGAAGACTGTTCCAAAGTTTTGGTGCTAAATAGGAAAAGGATCTCCCGCCAGCAGTCGATTTTGATATTCTAGGTATTATCAACTGGCCGGAATTTTGAGATCGCAATAGACGTGAAGGACTATAATGCTTTAAAAGCTCGCTCAAGTACTGCGGAGCTAAACCATTTATTGCTTTGTAAGTAATCAACAATATTTTAAAATTTATAGGGATGCACGATATAGGATTTTGGCCGATATTCGATATGCCGATATTTTCAAACTAATTTTGCCCGATGCCGATGCCGATACCGATATATTTGTATTTTTTTTTTAAGCGCAAAAAAAGCTTATTAAAGCTTCTATTAATGTTCTCAGTCAAGAGCAGTGAGTGATTTCCTCTGTGTTTTGTTGTTTTATTAACATTAACGGGATAGTTCTCCCAAAAATTTTAATTGTCATAATTTACTCTCTCAAGTTTCTTTCTTCTGTTGAAATTATAAAAGTTATTTGGAAGAATCTGGCTAACCAAACAGTTGCTGTACTCCAGTGACTTCCATAGTATATTTAAGCACAAGAAAGAAATGAATCTAGGTTTGAAACAACATTAGATAGACAGAATTTTTATTTCTGGGTGCAGTATCTCTTTAAAGACAAGCGGCAGAATATTATTGCCGCTTGTAAGAACTGCACGCGAGTAACGCGACGCGTCTAATATACACGCATTTGACAAGCAGATTTTCTCTGTTTGCTTTCACTTTAGACATAACCAACTTTGTTTATGTAAACCTTGTGTGTATTTGACAGTATCAGCGCAATAAGACTCGAAAGATTAGTCTAGTATGCAGGCGCTGTGACAGGCTTTTAGTTCCTGTGAGCGTCGGGTGTAACGCGCTCAGAAAAGCGGATGTTAGAACAGCGCATCAGCACGTGAATGACATGTTTACCTAGCAAGACTTTGACGCACATGCAAACAATGAACTTTTGTGAATTGCGGTGTCCCGTGAGTGTAACTCTACCTCTGCGTTTACATGTGATGTGAATGTGCGTCGCGTTGTACAGTATGTTGAGATGAAGGCGCCAGAATTGAACTGATAGAATGCACTATACTATGATTTTTCTTCAAAAGCAGATCGTGGAGACATTTAAATCATCCACGATCCAAAACCGTGAGACGCACGGCACACCCCTAGTTGGAAGTTTAAGTTGTGGGCGCTCATGCTTCGTTCACGGTCGTCACGTGCGCATAGGAAACACGCCACCCTATCGGCAAGACTCATCGGCAGAAATATTCATATCGGCCGATGCCGATGATGGTCATTTTAAGCTTTTATCGGCCGATACCGATGTTGTCCCGATATCATCGTGCATCCCTAAAAATGTATACGATGTTTAATAGGCAGCCAATGCAGTGTTGACAGAACCGGGCTAATATGGTCATATTTCCTGGTTCTGGTAAGAACTCGAGCTGCTGCGTTTTGAACTAGCTGTAGTTTATTTATTAAGCGTGCAGGGCAACCACCCAGTAGAGCATTACAATAATCTAGCCTTGATGTCATGAACGCATGAACTAATTGTTCTGCATTTTGTTAGTGAGAGCATATGGCGTGATTTAGATATGTTTTTAAGATGGAAAAATGCGGTTTTACAGATACTAACCACGTGACTTTCAAATGAGAGATTGGTATCAAAGAGCACACCCAGGTTCCTACCCGACGACGAGGACTTAACAGAGCAGCCATCAAGTGTTAGACAGTATTCTAGGTTATTACGTGTGGAAGTTTTTTGTCCAATTATTACAATCTCTGTTTTTTCAGAATTTTGTAGTAGGAAATTTCTAGTCATCCAATTTTTTATATCGGCTATGCATTCCGTTAATTTTGTGAATTGGTAAGTTTCGTCGGGGCGTGAAGAAATATACAGCTGGATATCATCGGCATAACAGTGAAAACTAATTCCATGTTCCCTAATGATATCTCCTAATGGTAGCATGTACAGAGTGAACAGCAGCGGTCCTAGTACTGAGCCTTGTGGTACGCCATACTGAACTTGTGATCGATAAGACATCTCTTCATTTATTGCTACAAACTGATAACGGTCAGTTAAGTATGATTTAAACCATGCTAGTGCAACTCCACTAATGCCAACATAATTTTCGAGTCTATTTAAAAGAATGTTGTGGTCAATAGTATCAAATGCAGCATTAAGATCAAGTAACACTAATAGAGAGATACAACCACGATCGGATGATAAGAGCAAATCATTTGTGACTCTGATGAGAGCTGTCTCGGTACTATGGTACGGTCTGAATCCTGACTGAAAATCCTCGCAGATATCATTTCTTTCTAGAAAGGAACACAGTTGTGAGGATACTGCTTTTTCTAATATCTTTGATAGAAAAGGCAGATTCGAGATCGGCCTGTAATTGACTAATTTTGTATGATCAAGTTGCGGTTTTTTAACAAGCGGTTTTATCATAGCCAGCTTAAAGGTTTTTGGTACGTATTCTAGAGACAAAGACGAATTAATGATAGTAAGAAGAGGATCTATGACCTCTGGAAGCATCTCTTTCAGTAGTTTAGTCGGTATAGGGTCTAACATACATGTTGTCGATTTAGATGATTGAACAAGTTTAGAAAATTCGTCCTCTCCTATGGCAATAAATTAATCAAATTTTTCCTCATGGAGACTACAATACACTGCCTGATGCGATACTGTGGTAGACGGTTGCATAGTTATAATTTTGTCCCTAATATTATCGATCTTATAAGTGAAGAAGTTCATAAAGTCATTACTGCTGTGTTGCTTGGACACTTCTGAGCTTGAAGCTTTCTTTTTCGTTAGTTTAGCTACTGTTTCAAATAAATACCTAGGATTATGTTTATTTTCTTCTAATAGGGTTGAAAAATAAGCAGATCTAGCAGCTTTTAAAGCCTCTCTGTAAGCAATCGAGCTCTCTTTCCATGAAATCCGAAATACCTCTAGTTTTGTTTTCTTCCAGTTGCGCTCCATTTTTCTGGCTGCTCTCTTAAGGGCCTGGGTGTGCTCGTTGTACCACGGAGTTGGACTATTTTCTTTAATCTTCTTTAAGCGCAATGGAGCAACTGCGTCTAAAGTGCTGGAAAAGAGAGAGTTAAAAGTTTCTGTTGCAATATCGAGTTCACACTACATGAGTTCACACTACATGATTTTAAGCCCGATTTAAGCCCGATTTGCAAATCGTTGAGCTCGCCGACAGGTCAGGGTGTTATCGCGTGCAAATCGCGGGGGATTAGCGGGCGATGAACGATCGCCAATCTGTTAGTATGAAAGAGCCAACAACGCATCAAAGACGCTCGCAGACGCGTCGCCGAGCCCAGGAAAATATCTAGCATGCTAGATATCCAGAGCTGTCGCACGACTCAAGCTCACGTGATGTCATGAGCTACACCCAATCAGAGCAAGGCATGGGTTGAGGTCATGATGTCATGAGCTACAGCCAATCAGAGCAACGCATGGGTTGAGGTCACCGGGTAAAGACGCGGGTAAATACGCGATTTTCAAAGAAACACGGAAGACGAGTTTACAGAAAGATTAGCAACATGTCGTCAAGAAAGCAATGGACTCAGGATTTGGAGCAAAATTTAATCGAACTGTGGCAGGAGCATGAATGCCTTTATGATGTTGGACATGAGATGTACCACAACCGCTCCGAGAAAGAGAAAAGGTGGACGGAAATTACAAACGCTCTCAAACAGCCAGGTGAGCAAAATGTTATTTTTACATTATCTAAATGTTGTATGTTGAAATGTAAATTACATCTTTTTACTGTAATTCTGTTTATTGTGATATATATTATTGTGTAGTAAGAGGATATTCAGTTTAAGTTTAATACCAATCTGCCTTTTGTACCAGTCGAGAGACACTTTAAACCAGGGAAGGATTAAATTGTCATTTTTAGTTTGAAACAGACAAATAAAATAAATGAATTTGTGGTGGTGCATAACTGAGAATAATGCATTTTCTTTATTAATTGTAGAGTTTACTGTTGAGGACATTAAGATCAGGGTAGTATCCCTGCGAACGCAGTACTGTCGTTTGCAGAAACCCAAACCAAGTGGGAGTGGCTGCAAACCCTTGACTCCTAGGCAAAGGTGGCTTCTCAGAGTGATGGATTTCATCAAAACATATATTGTCCACCGGCCATGCGAAACAACAGTAAGTTAAACGGTCAACAGAAGCAAGACATGTATTTGTAATAGCATCCATTTGTAACACTCATACACCAACACATACATATTAAAATGAACAAGGCCCGTTAGCGGTCTTGACGCGTTTTTGTTTACAAACTATTAAAAAATTACAAACTATTAAAAGTTTACAATTGTTCTGCACACACACACACCCTGCACACACACACACATGCCACACACGCACGCCACACACACGCACACCCCACACACGCACGCCACACACCCCACACACACGCATGCCACACACCCACACACCCCACTCACACGCATCCCACACACCCACACACACGCATGCCACACACCCACACACGCACGCCACACACCCCACACACGCACGCCACACACACCCCACACATGCACTCCACACACATGTTTGGATATTTTTGGGATTAAATGGGTTAATAGTGCCAGATTTGGCATATACAAAAACATGCACACTCGCTCAGTCACTGACTGAAAAAATCACTGAAAAATACAATACCACACACATACACACGCTGTCTCACACATGCTACAGTAAACAGTAATACTTTATTCTGCTCTCTTGACTCAAATCTTACACTGTGCTGAACTGGGTAATGTAAGTGCATGTTGTTGAAGCAGCTCTTTCTTAATCCTATCACCGTCTTCTCTGTTCCAGCTTGGTGCATCATTCAGTGGGCAGAGTGATGCAGAGGATATGGACCTCTCAGACCTAAGGCCTGATACACCATCTGTGGACAGCTCCCCACGTACTGCGTCCACCCCAATTTCGTCAAATCAAGAAGCCTTTACATTGTCGGAGGAAACTGCTTCAACTGCCTCAAGTGATAGCGGTAAACAGCCACGTTTGAGCAACAATCCCCAAAAAAGAAAGAGGGTGTCCGAGGATGTTGTAGAGCTGCAGAAGCTGGATTTGTTGAAACAGATGGTTGCTCAAGTGGACTCACAAACACCTCGGGATACATTAACTTCTTTTGGGAACCAGGTGGCTTTGGAATTGAGGGATATTCAAGACCCAGTTCTGTTATCACGAGTAAAAAGAAGCATAATGATTATGATATACAACGCCCAGGAGAATGACAGAAGCGGGTCATTGTCGTCACCTGGACAACCTACCCCATATCAACCTGTCAATTCAGGTCTACCAACGGCCCAGTCTCATTCCCAGCAGCCTTATTATGCCTCAGGTCATGGGTTTCATAGATCACTTTTGGAGACACAACCCGAACATGCCTATGACTAGACATTCTAATGAACCTGTGGATTGTGAATTGTGGATTTTTACTATCTTAAACAATATTGTTCTATTACATTTTGTTTTATTATAGTAGTGCACTACTTGCCGTTTAAACTTGTTTGTATAGTGTTACTTTTTTCTTTAATGTAAACATACTTTAATAAATAAAAACAAATTCTAAAACAGGCTGTCTGTCCAGTTCTCAAAGCTTTTACATTCTAAAGTGAAGTGACCTAATTGACTGTTCAATGCTCAAATTGTTGATGATTGAATTACAGAGTATCCTTCACATCGTTCACATTATAATATATTTAAATTAAAACCTTACAAGTAATAAAAGGAATAACTATTTACAACGTGAAGACCAATTGTTTTTTATTATGTACACTCTTATGGGGAACGGTATATATATATATTTAACGTATATGTATATTTTAGCTTATTGTTACAACACATATTGCTGTGCACCACAAACACAATCATTGAGAAGCTGCCTATTTAGAGTGCTGGGCGATACACAAAGTATCATAATATAATAGTGTGGGATTGGCTGTTAGATCAATCCATATCGAGTAAAAATGCCCAGTGCTTATCGTAATCGACAATTATCACGATCAGCTATGTTATTATTTATCACCCCAGCCCTAGTATAGGCATATTAATAATGTTCTGTGAATAATGAATGTGGATTAATAAATAAAGGTAGTATAAGGTACTTAATTGCAACATATAGATTGCCTTTAATTGTTACATACCTGCACCGTTGGATTTGTATGCAATTGAAATAACAAATTGAATAACAACACTACAAACTGATAATCACAAAACAATATTCTTTATTAATACTGGATTTTTGAACACACAAGAAAATAAAATTTCCTAAACTGACTTTAACCTGCTGTTTGCTGGGATAACTCTACATCAGTTCCTTTTTAAATGTGTTGATCCTGCCAAGAAACACTTCCTGCTGGTGAGACAAAGTAGTCCCGCATCAGATTGCGTTGCATTTTGGCTGTCGCTGTATAATTGCGATGTGAGGTGTTCTCCATCGGTTGGAAAGCACCCATGCCATCATTCCTCCATTGCCCATCAACCATGTTGTGGTCAGCAGTCTCCCAGTCTGCAAAAACTGGAGGGGCTTATGCTTCTGACCTGCGCTCGCAGAGGAAGTTGTGGATGCACAGGGAAGCCATTGTTATTTTCACCACCTTGTCTGGCTCCAAGCAAATGGTCGACCTGAACACTCTCAACCGGTTGGCAAGAATGCCAAATGCATTCTCTACCACCCTTCGTGCCCTAGACAAACGATAGTTAAAAACCCTCTGACTGTGCTCCATCTGCCTGAATGGATATGGCTTCATTAGGTCATGCCTTAATGGATATGCATCATCTCCCACAAACATGTAGGGCATCACTGTGTCAGAATCGGGCAAGAGCTCAGTCTGCCCTCGTCCATTGCTTTGCGCAGGTCAGAGTGAGCAAACAGTCCGGCATCTGAAACTCGACCTTGGGTACCCACACTTGCGTAGATGAACTTGTAGTTCGCATCTACTGCAGCTATCATAAGCACAGAGAACCTGCCCTTGTAATTGTGGTAAAAACTTCCACTTTTTCTTGGAGGCTGTATGTAAATGTGCTTTCCATCCAGTGCCCCAAGGCAATGTGGAAACTGCCACTTCCTTTCGAAATCCATGGCTATTGTATGCCACTCTCCCTCCGTTGATGGTGTCTAAAATAATAGGACACACCAAAAGTCAGTGACTGAATTATTAGAATACAGTTATATGTAGAACAAAATTGGATAGTCATACTTTTGTGAGTCAAACTCCTTCTCACTTAATCCATATAAATATGTATATAAAGATAAACTAGAGAATAAACATACAAGTATGTGTAGACATAAAAATATAATTACTTATGCTTTTTCGGAAGTATATCCCTGTTTGTAATCATAGGTTTTACTAAAATACTTTTAGCAAAAAGGAAAGTCAACTGTATATTGCCGATGTCCACAATGTTGATGTTCTGGGTGTTCTTTTTTAAAATTAAGTTGTAGAGTGTATATCTTTACATTTTGTAATGACTCCCTACCTTCAAGAAATCCTCCTTCATAACCTGGTACAGAGCTGTACAGGTTTCCATCACTATTTGTGAGATGGTGCTGGTCCCCATCCTGTACTGGAACCTGAGGGACTTGAAAGCTTCACCTGCATGACACCAAACAAAGTCAGAAACATAACTTACCCAGACAGACAAAAACGTTATCACTACATGCAGTTTAAAATGAAATCACACAAACCTGTTGCCAAGAACCGCAGGGTCAAAGACAGACGCTCTCTGGGTGGTATTGCACGTCTCATCTTGGTGTCCTGCTTTGTTATAAGATGTTGGACTCTATCCAGCAAAAAATCAAACTCCTCTGCCGTCATTCGCAGCAACTCCCTGAAGCCTGTCCTATCATTATTCTATTACAACGATAAATAAATCAAGAAACACAGCTTTTTAGCACAGTACACAACACGTTGATATTTTAACATTTTAAATGCGTCCGGCCAAACATAAACATGCAGCTACATCTCCGATATAAACATGCTGTACTCACCTCCAACTCTCTCTGTAGCACAGACAATCCCTGCTGTTCGCGTATGCGGATCCACTCTTTCGCCCATACTCTCTTATTTTTTTTTTTTTATTTTTTTTTTTTCTCAGAGCAAATTATCGCGCAAACAGTTTGCAGCACCAGTTTCTGTTTGACGTCCATAATCGCGTGTTGTCTTCTTCTTCGTCTTCTTTGTATTGGCGCGCGTGCTGTTTCGTGTCATTTCCGGTTCGTTTTATCCCGTGATATTTCGTGACAAAACGTGGTTTGTAGACCAGATAGAATCGTTGGGCGAAAGAGTTGTTGTCAACTCGTGTAGTGCGTTACCTCCTGTTGCGGATCAATCACGTTGTGTCGTGTGGTGTGAACAGCTCAACAACTTGAACACTCCTGATTTCACAGAGAGCAAGTCATGTAGTGTGAACCGCACAGTTCAGCCCAACGTTTTAAAATCATGTATTGTGAACTAGGCTTAAGCTATCTGGGATGCTGAGATGATGAAACTGATTAGGAAGATTATTGATAAAGCAATCTTTAGTGGCAGAAGTTATAGGTCTAACGTATTTATAACACGGAGTCGGCTTTGCAGCCTTGGCTAAATGTAATTTACATGAGACTAGATAATGATCTGAGATGTCATCGCTCTGCTGCAGAATTTCAACGGCATCAATATCTATTCCACGTGATAGTATTAGATCTAGAGTATGATTACAACAATGAGTAGGTCTTGACACGTGTTGTCTAACTCCAATTGAGTTTACAATATCTTTAAATGCCAATCCCAATGCATCTTTTTCATTATCTACATGCATATTAAAATCACCAACAATTAGTACTTTATCTGCAGCCAATACTAATTCTGATAAATTCAGCAAATTCTTTGATAAAATCTTTATGGTGCCCTGGTGGCCTGTATACAGTAGCCAGCAGAATTCTCAAATGTGATTTATTGTTTACACTATATATTTTTACATTAAGAACCAACACTTCAAAAGAAGTATATTTAAAACTAGATTTCTTAGTGGTTTTGAAAATATTACTATAAATTACAGCAACACCTCCCCTTTTGCCTTTCAGACGAGGTTCATGTTTATAACTGTAATCTTGTGGGGTTGACTCATTTATAGTAATATAATCATTTGGTTTTAACCAGGTTTCTGTCAAACACAGCACATCTAGATTATAATCTGAAATCATATCATTAACTATGAGTGATTTTGGAGTAAGGGATCGAATATTCAGCAACCCAAGCTTTATCATTTGCTCATCTGTATTATATCTGTTTTTTATTTGTTGAACATCAATTACATTTTTAACCTGACGTTTTTTGGATTTCCAAATTCGGGGAACAGACACAGTCTCTATATGATGATATCTAGGTGAAAGAGGCTCTATGTGATGGGATTTATCTGACCTTGGTGACGTGAGGCCGCTAGCAGACGGTCGGTTTAGCCAGTCTGTCTGCTTCCTGACCTGAGCCCCAGATTGTCATGTTTTCATGTGCAAGAGCAGCACCATCCCAGGAGGGATGAATACCATCTCTTTTCAACAGGTCAGGCTTGCCCCAAAAACTTTTCCAATTGTCTATGAATTCTATATTATTTTGCGGACACCACTCAGACAGCCAGCGATTCAGTGAGGCCAATCTACTAATTATCTCATCACTCCTGCGAACAGGAATTGGGCCAGAGCAAATTACAGTGCCTGACATCATACTTGCGAGTTCACACACCTCTTTAATATTAATTTTGGTGATCTCCGACTGGCGGAGTCGAACATCATTAGTGCCGACATGAATAATGATCTTAGAGAATTTACGATTAGCATTAGCCAGCACTTTTAAATTTGCTTTGATGTCAGGCGCTCTGGCTCCCGGCAAACATGTGACTATGGTGGCTGGGGTCTCTATTTTCACGTTCCGTGTGATCGAATCACCAATTACCAGGGCACAATCAACAGAATTCTCAGTGGGTGTTTCACTGAGTGGGGCAAATCGATTTGTTATGGGAATCGGAACGGAAGAGTGGTTCTTTGATCCGCGACTAGAGCGGTGATCTCTCACAGTCACCCATCTGCCCTGCTGCACGGGCTCTACTTCAGCCGGAACCGAATCATGTAAAGAGTTCACTATGCTAGGCGCATCCAAAACACTATCTAAAGATCTAGCATTCTTACCATCCTCAATTAAAGTTTGGATGCGTGTCTCTAGTTCTGAAATCTTCTCCGTCAGCCTGACTGTCTCCTTGCATTTATCACATATAAATCCTATATTGCCATCGGAGAAGACTATACTAAACATATGACACGTGACACAGGTGACAATAACAGGACAAGAAGACATTGCTCACCGTGTTTGTTGAATGATTCTTCCTTACCTGGACTTATGAACTCAAAGGCGCGGGCGCGCGAGAGAAAATA